ATGAGAAATGTACAGTTACAGTAGTTCATGTGTGGTTGTTGATACACTGTTAACTAAAGAGGCAATACATACTTGTGTCACCTATCACTCAGGAATATTTCGGTGGATTTTGTGTTTTAGGACAGAATTGAACTACTTAACACTAGAGTAAAAGAAACGCTTTTTATACAACGCTTTTGGGAGTTATATGTGATTGATCCATGAATTTGGCGTTAAATTATCTGAATGTAAATAAACCGGAGATGGTGAAACGAAGCTGTTGAGGTAGTTTGGTAGTTCTTGTGACGCGTACACACACACACACACACACACTTACGTACAGAAGATGGTTATACACCTTCGGTAAAGTGCGCTTAGCCTGTTGCACCCTTCCTGGTCACTACCGACTCTCCCACCAACACTGACAACAGAGCAGTTTGACTCGAATGAAGACTCACCAAAGAGAGATGGGGAGGATACTAATACGAATCCCAGCCAACGTTAGTGCCGATGGATGATAAAGTTGTGCTAATATCCTGCTTACGAGAAGAAAACTATAGTGATGAGAGTTACCATTCTTATATCAGAACGCAATGAGGAAATCGGTTTTGAATGAACACAATAGGATGTAGTTGAACAGCGCTCATATGTCAAGAGTCTTCAGTGTGTTCATGAGGTGAGGTTTTTCCGTACAACTGGTGTTTTTGCCAAAGTCAGAACATCATAGAAAACAATCCAGGTTGTATAGTTCCTCCTCCTCCCCTTCCCCTCCCCTTCCCCTCCCTTCCCCCTCCCCCCCTCCCCCTCCCCTCCCCTCCCCTTCCCTACCTCACGAAGAAATTTTTTTTTTTGCGTAAGTAAAATTATCTTGACAAAACCCCAAAGACACTACCAACCATTGTTACTTCTCTCTACACGTGGTTTCAGTTCCACCTCTAGTGCTGCTACTTCGTCAGGTGGTCCCAGCGTGTAGAAGCACTTTTAGGGATGAGGGGACCTTTGTTGTCCCTTTTTGGTTATGTAATAAATGGGAGTAAATTTCTACAGGTAGCCTAAACAAAAGTCGTAGTGTACCCAATCTCAACATGACCGTAGTGTACCCAATCTCAATATGACCGTAATGTACCCAATCTCAACATGACCGTAATGTACCCAATCTCAACATGACCGTAATGTACCCAATCTCAACATGACCGTAATGTACCCAATCTCAACATGACCGTAGTGTACCCAATCTCAACATGACCGTAGTGTACCCAATCTCAACATGACCGCTCAGTAATTCCAACGCTTCAGTAAGTGAATTTATAGAACCGGTTTTTTGGCGTGGCTGTGGACGAGATATGACCAGCCTATATACCGTATTTTACAGAAAAAAGGGTATTATATACTTGGTGTTTTCGTCGGTATATGCTTCTTGTTAGTTACTGGATGATATATATTTTAGTATAATAAAAAATACCGTAATTATACCTTCTGGTGCAGTAAGAGGATATAATATTTCGCCTGATGGAATGTACACCTGCAGGGTTTTTTGGGGAGTTGGTAAAAATGATTAAGAGAATTGTGGGTAATATAGTTGTTGTGTGTGGGTGAGGTGCTTCCCCTGTAGCATATTAACCCCATGAGGACGATGACTTTTGAGTGCGTTAATTTGACCTCTTGTTGAGTACGTTGTCTTAACCCCAGGGTACGGGTGGGGTGTTGTTTGCCCCAAGGGTTGTTGTTGGCCTCCTCTCGTGTTTTGTAAGTACTCCTTGGGGGATTTATTTACTTGGGAGGTAGGGGTGTGTGTGTGTGTGTTAGGAAGCCGTGTACCCCCTCGACACCTCAAATCTTTACTCCAGGTGTTAAAACTTGACTTGATGCTCAATTTTACGTCAATATGTATGCATTAAACGTCTATTTTACACACACACACACACACACACACACACACACAGGTTCCAAAGAAACGCCAAACCTCCATGGCAAAGATTGAAAGTCTAATGGTCAGTGGGAATTTTATATAGCGTAGCCAAACGTAATCATATATTATTATTATTATTATTATTATTATTATTATTATTATTATTATTATTATTATTATTACTTTGAACGGCTATTTAAGTCTGTAGAAGAATAGAGGGTGAGAAGGAATAATGATAAATAGACTGATAGGAATGATAAATGTTAGGAATAAGAGAATATAGGTAATCACAAGTTGGGGAAGGAAGGTGGGGTAAGAAATGAGAAGGAGAGTAAGAAATTAAGAAGAAGTAGAAGAACTCGGGGAAAGAGGATAAGTAATCGAATTTGTGTTATCGTAATTCTAACAGTAAAATATGGAGAAAATAATGTGAAATTGTTTAATAATTTTAGATATCGACTATTTAATAACATCACTAGTTTAATCAGAGTCAGTAAACCCAAATAAAGTAAAAATTAATCGGATATTTTTGAAGAAAGAGTGACTTAACATGAGCCGTAATGTCGTCTCGTCAAATTACTTGAGTTAGTGATCTCCGTTTTCTGTATTGTTACTTAGAGAAAACGTAAACTAAGAGAAGGGGAAACTCATGAAAACTATTATTACCTTGGATATTTATTCGGTGAAATCATCCTACATTTATATTTATTCGGTGAAATCATCCTACATTTACGCGTTGGTTCAGTGTGTACAAGGGTATGATATGAAACGTTGACATATTAAATTAATTCAACGTTGAAGCTTATTTTGTTTTACTGAATAATATATCAGTCTATCTCGGCGCCAGAGGTTTGAGAAGTTGCTTGTCATTATAATTTAAGCATATATGAGATAGGTTAGTTAAGGCGGGAACTACCTCTCTGTACTCCTATGGCTTTTATTGATCCCTCTCCTCAGGTCAGGTTAATGTTAAGCTAGGTTAGGTTGAGCTGGGTTAGGTTAAGTTGGGTTAGGTTAAGTTGGGTTAGGTTAAGTTGGGTTAGGTTAAGTTGGGTTAGCTTAAGTTAGGTTAGTTTATTTCTTTTATTATTATTATTATTATTATTATTATTATTATTATTATTATTTGACAAGTATTTAGTAATATAATACAAAAGACAGTTAAGAGATAAACCACTACTTTAGGTACTTAAAGACAGGAAATGTTGTTATCATTACCAGTTATGTGACACAACACTTATGATTGTCACATGTGGTATATCAGGTGGCCAGATTATATAATGCTTATGTATAATAGGGGATCATGTGAAGATTAACCACCCTAACGTTACTCCTACCTTAACCTTAAACCTTACCTTAACCTTAAACCTTAACCGTAAACCTTAACCTGACCTCACCTTAAACCTTAACCTTACCTCACCTTAAACCTTACCTCACCTTAAACCTTACCTTAAATTTTACCTTAAACCTTACCTTATCTTTACCTTACCTTAAACCTTACCTTACCTTAAACCTTACCTTACCTTAAACCTTACCTTAAATTTTACCTTAAACCTTACCTTATCTTTACCTTACCTTAAACCTTACCTTACCTTAAACCTTACCTTAAATTTTACCTTAAACCTTACCTTATCTTTACCTTACCTTAAACCTTACCTTACCTTAAACCTTACCTTACCTTAAACCTTACCTTAAATTTTACCTTAAACCTTACCTTATCTTTACCTTACCTTAAACCTTACCTTACCTTAAACCTTACCTTGTAAACCTTACCTTACCTTAAACCTTACCTTAAAACCTTACCTCACCTTAAACCTTACCTCACCTTAAACCTTACCTTACCTTAAACCTTACCTCACCTTAAACCTTACCTTACCTTAAACCTTACCTTACCTTAAACCTTACCTTACCTTAAACCATACCTTACCTTACCTTAAACCTTACCTTACCTTAAACCTTACCTTACCTTAAACCTTACCTTACCTTAAACCTTACCTTACCTTAAACCTTACCTTAAACCTTACCTTACCTTAAACCTTACCTTACCTTACCTTTACCCATACGTTCATCTAGCTAATCTAAATGTGGAATAAACTAAAGGGGGTCAAAACATAAGGTGATCCCTCCCCTCTAAATGCTTTACGATCCATTGTTACAAATTCCTTTATATCCTTACCATTGCACTACCTCTTATGTACTGTGTCCCCCCCGTATGTCAGGAGATGAAACACAAACAGCTCAAGAAAACATCTCCTTCTTACTCTGCTGGTAATCATTTCACAGGTTATGGCTCCCGTATATAATAGTCAGTACTTGAAGATGATATTAACCTTTATGTAATTTGTTCATGTGTGTGTTTTATAATATTACAAATATTTTAAAGATTCTCTGTAAAAGGTGGAAATTTTCATTAAATTGGGTTATTTTCATTTATATTTGTTATTTTATTTGGAGTTTTGTTTCTGTGTACCAATAATTTACTGTACTGTTGATAGTGAATTATATTTGTTTAATAATACTCGTAATAATAGTAAAAGTTTAACTGATAACCAGCGATTGCAATAATAATGAAAGAGTTGCGCCATTGATAAAGTTTCCCCTTGAAATGGTAAACGTTTTTTATGATGTCCGGTTTGTAAATGAACTGTGGCGTGCGTTTTCCGTAGAGTTTATTGACGTTTCTTTCCTCTTCCTCCCGTTACTTAAGCATCACGTTCTGGCTTTGTGTGTGTCCTCTCCTTTGGCTTCATGATACGACAGTTGCTACAGTATTATTTCCTCGTTAAGTTTTTCATTGATTTTTTTTCCTGATCATTCATTGATATTTTTCTGAATACCTGAATTTGTATTATTAGTTGTTGATTGTTTGTTTGTTCTCAAGTTTTTGGGTTATATCTTTTCTGGTGTTGTTATACAAACCAGATTATTGTTGTTTTTGGATCTTTTTTATTTCCATATTTTTTTTTATTGTAACTTTCTCTGTTATTCAGATATTTTCATTTTGTTATTTATTTTTATATTCAGTGCATTTATTTATATATTTTTGGTTCATTCTAGTGATACTCTTTGGGTCTCAGGGTACATATATAAGGAGGGTAGATAAAGATGGTGGTAAATTAAAATATTGTTTTATTTATTAAATATTTGATGATTTTGTGTTGAGTGATGAGTGATGGAGGTTGATGAAGTGAGTGGTGCGTATCACAGTAGGTATCACTCCGCGTGGCGGCCTATCACAGCAGATCCCGGGGGCGGGGCTATCACAGAATGCAAGAAGGCGCGCTCCTCATTGGTCGTTCTCTTGTGATGACAGCATCATCGGTATCGTTGATTGGGTAACTTCAACAGGTTGCTGACGAACGATTGGTTGAGGTAGCGGCTTCAGGGTTGAAGAGAGCGTTGAATGGTTACCAAGGACGCCACATGGGACCAGAGGGCGCGGCGATGGTGAGGAGCCCCTGAGGGCGGGGTGATGGGCTGCTGCTGCTGCTGGCGGTGCTGCAAGCGGGGGAACTGCTGTTCCTGCTGGAGGTGGATGGCGTGGGAGAGAGCTCGGAGGCTGAAGAGTAGCCACTGGATGCTGATGAGAGAGCGGGTGAGGGCTCTGCCTGAGGCACAAGTATGGTGAGGGGGGCTCTCTTCTCGTAGTTGGTAAGGGAGATGCCCAAGTGGGTCATGAGCTTGGTACCGAGGGTGACGTCGACGCCCTGCACAGAGGCCAGGCAGCGGGACACCTCGGAGGCACAGTGGCTATAGCCTTCACGGAACTTGTCTTGATCTGTAGGGATGGGTCTCACTGCAAGCTGGTTACGACGCTGGAGTTTTTTGAGGTGAGTGACAGTGAGCTCCAACACATCGGCCTTCTCCAGCTTGGCGATGGACTCGCCCTCCGCCTGAAGTGCTGTCACCATCAGGTCCTTGAGTTCGTCGAGGCACTTGTTGATGCGGGCCCTCCGCTTGCGTTCCAGCATGGGCTTCATCACCTTGCGGTACTGGTAGGTGCGGGACAGCGGCTCCAATTCACAAGCCATCTTGAGTTCAAATACACACGACTGGTAAAACAGCCAAAGTTCACAAGAGTAGTACTAGCAGCGGGTGGCTGAGCAGAGCTAGTAGTGCTCTCAGCGAGTATTGGAATGAGTATGAAGTACACCGCGGTCCTCCCGCCTTATATTAGCAGGGACGAGGAAGGGGCGGGGCTAGGCGAGCGTGAGAACGGGCTAGTCGTACGCGTTCCCACACACACACCACCTGCCCGCCGCAGCTGCCGCCCTCCCTGCCAGATATCGCCACATCCTCGCCCGCACCTCCCTCACACGCTCACTCCCCTACACCTAATACATCCGCATTTAAAGCACTTCCATGCAATAACGTTAATAAAAAGTACTGCGGCATTGAACACAAGTAGTGAGTTGCAGATAACCTTAAATGGTTTATGTCTGTCGTGGCGGAGCAGCCAGTACCTTCATGTTATGCGTAAGTACACTTGTCTAACCTTGATATACTCACATACAGTGTCTACCAAAATGTGTACCTTTATAGTGAAGTAATTGGTGAATCATGTGGTGCAGAATGCTCAAGAAGGGATACAATTAGCAATAACAGTTGGTGGTGTGTGGCGGCCTCCGGCACCTCTATGCCCCGTGCTTACTCCGGGAAGGGGGGTAGGGTTATGGGGGGGAGGGGGAGGAGTGATGGGGGGTGACGGGGTGCGCTGGAATGTCTCAAGACACGGGCAGATGTTTTCCCACAGTCTCAACGGAGAACGTACTTACGAACGCACGCACACATACACACCGCCTCCCCGCGCACTACACGGACGTACGCACTCACAGCCATCTAAACTTCGGCACGTGATGAAGTACTGGCTGCCTGGCTTAATGCTTCCTCCCTCGCCGCGGTAAACACACACACCACACACTCTAGAATGATCACCCGAACCCACACAACGTTATTATTAGACAGTAGATGAGAGTTAAAATGTTGAACTAGAAGCCCAGGATGGGGTGTGTTAAGAGAGTGTTTGACGGTGGTGGTATCTGGTAGCTGCGGCACGAGGCACAACACGGAGCCATGCGGGCCACTTTTTGTCGCTGAATGAAACCACCTCACCTCGTGCGAGTCTTCTTACACGCTGACCGGAGTCTAATAGGAATCCACATTATTTTTTTCTTCTTCTTCGTCTTATTCCCCTTTACTCGAGGTTGTTACTGACGCGGTGTTCTCGTGGGCCCCGGGTACACAAGGAACTGTTTGGACGCTGCCCGGACGTTGTCGGGGTCAGTGGAGACGCCCAAAGGTGAGGCGCATTAATCCAAGGGATGGGCGGGCGCTGCCATGCATATTGATGTGTGCCGGACCAGAGTACCACTGAGGACGCCCGCTAGATGGTATAGAAGGGGAATTTTTTTTTAAGTTTGATTTATTTAACCAGAAAAATACAGGTACAAAGTGATATAGGTGTGTGTAATATAGATAGCCACCTTACCACACCACCACACTACCACACCACATCTTCTCGTACCGCTACTTTTAAGGGGGGGGGGGGAGGTCATTGTGTGCTCTGAACTTCACCAAATATTTATATAATGACCTGTCGAATGTTGAAGCTATTAGCATTTGGTGTTGACCGTGTGACTGTGTGTGCCGAATACTTGTACCTGTCCCCTGTACCTGTCACTTGTGGTTCCGGTCATTCCCCCTTCACACGGGCAGCTGGTCACACATAACTTAGCTCTGCAGCCTCCACCAAAAAAAAATAATAATAATAATAATAAAAAATAAGATGCAAAGGAAAAAAATAAACTGGTTGAACTTGAAGAAAAACTTGATGAACTTGCAACCATTTCGCTGACCTGCCCTGAGACCACCCCCGCCCTTCCCTCACCCCACCCCACCTGAGACCCCCTCCCCCATCCCACCCCACCTCACATGAGACCCCTCCCCCACCATACCCCACCTCACCCCCACTCCGCCCCACCTTCCTTGTGATACAGGAGTGAGTGGGCTGCCGTGACTGTACGGAGGAGAACCATGTGGGCGAGATTACAAGGTTGGGAGCCAGTCAGCACGTGTGTAATTTTGTATCTGATTTGAGAACGAGGCAGCAGGTTAGGTGGGGAGGGGGAGGAGGGGGGATAGTTGCTGGGGGTTGTTGGCTGCTGAGGGAGTGTTGCTTGGGGAGACTGGTTGCTGGGGAAGGGGTCTAGCTGTCGAGGGGGGAATGATGGGGGGCGGTGACGAGATAGCTCCATAGTTAATCTCTCAAAGTCAGGGATGTGTGACGCCCAGAAGCTGTTCGTCACGCATCATGGTCTGAGGATGTCTTGGGGGGGCCAGTGAGACAGTGAGGACGAGACAGATGGACAGAATGAGATGAAAAATATGAATTCATTTTCCTTCGTCAGTAGAAAATTGAATATTTAGAGACCACAGTGCAGAGGTGTGTGTGTGTGTGTGCGTGTGTGTGGTGAATCTTCTTCATCGGGAGAAAGAGAAACTATTATTAATCACCTGAAGATTAGGAACCCCAAATTATTTCACCTGATGATTAATTAAAAAGCTTTACTAACACTACCTGGTGGAGTTAGGCTACATAGGTTATCATTAAGGTGGTCAGTCTTAAGGTGAATTAACTTATGTTGTGTAATCTTCAGGTGACTCGAAATAGGACGTGTAATATTGAATACATTTTTTGATTGCTATTATCAGGGAGGCATGTGTTGAGGCGCACCCTGTAACCATTGCGACACTCGGGGAGGAATTTCCGTGTGTGTGTGTTTGTGATGAAACACTTTCCTGTAGCACCCCCCCCCCTCACACACCACCTACAGATCACCCCTTACATATTCCCTTCCACACATTACAGATCTTTTGGCCAGAAGTCTCACTGTTTTGCCTCACCTCCGCCTCGGGGGTAGAGACTGGGGGTGAAGGCTAAGAGACAAACAATACACATATATATATGAACCTGGTGATTAAACTCCCTAATCACCCTAATTTAATCCCTCTAGGGTAACATTAGGGTGGTTATTCGTCAGGTGATATAAACAAGGACAAATTTCCAGGTGATATGTTTGTGTGTCGGTCTTTCATTAATAACATCAAGGTGAATGTAACCCGTGTATAGTCAGTTACCAAGGTACTGTTGGTGGCCATATTAAGCCTCCAGGGTCTACTGTACTGGAAGGTGTCTCAGCTCTACAACATTTCCGCTGTCTCTGTTCCGTATTTAAAAGCTTCCAGGTGTATTTTAATCCTCGTGTGTGTGTGTGTGTGTGTGTGTGTGTGTGTGTGTGTGTGTTTCCTGTAGGCCGAGCTCCTCCGCCATTCATTAGTGTTCCCATTCATTCTTACCTGGCCCTAATCACTTCCCTCAACCCCCGGCTAACTCAAGGCCAGTGAGGCATCGTCTTGGAAGGTTGTGGTACATATGGTCACCAGCAGCGGGGAGTCTCACGTCTCACCTTTATTAATTATCTTCTTGTTTTAACTCTTTACTAACACATCATTTGTCGTAAGTTTAACTCTTAAGGTGATTAATGTATTGGTGTCTGTGTTTTGCTGCGTCAGGTATCTTGGGGAGTTTAAATGTCCGTCTAAGGGTCCCACGGTCGGCTTACCTTACGTTACCTTACCTTTCCTCCAGGTAATGGTCACCTGAGCCTAATGTTATCTTTGGCCCGGCTCTCCTTTCTCTCTTTCTCTGGTGTTTGCCATGTTGTCGGCGGTGGGCAGGTTGGTCACTTTTAGCACAACTTCCGGGGGATGTCCGTCATTGTCCTCTGTGTCTCTGGCCGCAAGACGGATCGGTGTTGGCATCTGTGATCTTAGCTGATGGTTGAGTGAGGTCCTGTCCCGCGTCGACACAGGGGGAGGAGAGAGAGAGAGAGAGAGAGAGAGAATTGATGATAGAGGAAAAGGAGGAAATGATATGGAGAGAATGTGTGTTGAAATGTGGGGGGGGTGTATGGACAAAGGTTGTCCATAGTGTACAGTGCCAAAGTCCACATCCTGTTTGAATAGCTGTGATGGGGGTGAGAACATCAAGTCTAGATAGTGTGTGTGTGTGTGTGTGTGTGTGTGTGTGGGAAAGTCATTTAGGAGCACTTACTGTGTACCTTGTTCGGGTGATAACTTATCTCTACACTCTCGACATGAGGGCTGCATGTTAGTGACCCTCTCCCGTCCATATGTTTCAAGTATCTTTATAAGTTACAGTGCTTGGGGAGGAGTACTACCCTACCACTATCACCACCACCACCACTACCACTATCACCACCACTACCACTATCACCACCATTATCACCACCATCACCACCACCACCACCACCACCATCATCACCACCACCACCAACGAGAAAGTCTGGGTTATGAAGGGCCGTCTCACCACACAGACAATGGTGAGAACCTTTCCTTATCTACTTTAGCGTGCTGCCCTCTTCTCCTGGTAATCTTGGCCCCTTGAGTAACTAACCAAGCCTTACCAACGGACCAGCCACTGACCGTCGCCCAGGGGGAGGAGGAGAGAGAGGTTGAGGGAGGGAGAGGTTTGGAGAAGAGGAGGGAGGGGGAGGTTGAGGCAGGGAGACAAGGAGGAAGAGGGATGGAGGAGGGGGGGGATGGGTGGGGGAGGGGGAGAATGGGTGGGGGGTGCTGTGTTAACCTTCAGGAGATGAATGTTCGAAAAAGTGTGTTAGGTTGTTACAGGACCCAGCAACGCTCTTAACACAGACAACCGCAGCTACTAACTAGTCGAGTGAACTGGGGTTAGTCTACCGGGATATTTGGACAGGTGCATCAGATCAGGTTATATCATGTTAGGTTAAGTTAGGTTAGGTTAAGTTAACTAAGAATAGGTTAAGTTAGGGTAAGCTGGATTAGGTGAGGTTGGGTTAAGGTGGGCTAGGTTAAGTTGGGTTGATTTTTTGTTATTAATTCAACAGGTTCCAAGTTCCACCTAATACACAGGGAGAGGAGAGTGACTATTCAAATGAAGGTTGATGTGGACAGACAGACAGGCAGGCAGACAGACAGACTCCTTTTAAAACCCACGCCCGCCAGTCACTGACATTTAGGACGATGACACGTAACTTCTGCCACAATGACGTCCTACCACGGTCACCCCCACCGCTGTCATGCATCCGCCAGG